CGCAGTCTATTTAAATGACCTTTTCTATCATTGAGCAATTTATCTTACAAAGATCAAACAAGAAGGCAGACAGGCAGGAAAAGTAGCCAAGCATATGTTAGTATCACTCTGGGGACGAATATTCTCAGATGAACGAAGACCGGGCCCATATCGGCGTATGGCGCCATTTATTTCAGCAAGAGGACATAAACAATATCGGAAAAAATCATCCCATTAGATGGATTTATTATTTCGAGCAAAAATACTGAACAGCTGATTGTAAAATATGAAAGTGCGGTGGTGAGTGATCTGAAAATTATAAAATCAGGTATCATGTCGATAAAGAATGTTGATGAATTTAAAATGGGTCGATTTTGAAGAAATAATTCCTCCAACATCTACGAAATCGGAAAATTCACCCATCCGTTACTTATCATTACCAAATGAGGTTCTTGATAGAATTTTCCAAATATCATAGGGACGAGAAAATGTATCTTCTTTATTAGTTAATAAGCAATGGTAATATATTGCTAGCAGACTAATATGGCAAAAAAATCTCTATCAGGTAAGCCAGTCGCATGTGCACAAGTATTAACCCTGAATTTTGTCGGAAAAATAAAATCTAGAGCCAAATGTTTCCAAAATGTGTAAGGTATGCTCAAATTTACAATGCTTAAGTTTCGAAAATTGTGGAACGCGTTTACTTAACAATAAGAGTTTAGAAGCGCTTCTAGGTGAGTGCCCAAAATTAAAATCACTCTCAATAATCAATTTTTAAGCGCTTAAATCCAAAGACATTTACAAAAATTCCTCAACTATGTCCTAGTTTGGAAATAATAGAAATTAAAAATTGTTGACGGATTAGAGAAGACATATTAATCATTTTGCAAAACTTATATCCAAAATAAAAGTTTATGTTTATTGAAAATGATTAGGAGCGATAAAATCAGTTTTCCTTATTTAAGGGAGATTTTTTCTGGCACAATAAATATTCAGTTAAGAAAACAACACTTGAAATAGCATACGTAAAATGTAAAATTTTCCTTTTTCCAATGAAATAAGACATCAAGAAGAGCATTACAAAGCAATGAAAGAGGCGCATATACACTACACAGTAAAGGCATTGATTGATACATCATCCAGCGCAAATAAAATTAGAAAAAGATTGGCTGATAAGCTTGGAAAAAAATACGGTAAGCATTATAAAGATAAAAGAGTGAAAAAATCATTAGGCGCTATTCAAATTTTAATTCGAATCGGGGGAAACTGGATTTAAATCCGAAGGTCGAATACAGTTTCAACTCCTTGCAGAATATGCAGAAAAAAAGAATAACAGATAATGAAATGTAATGCGGCATTTATGCAAATGCATTGATCTGAATCTAATCAATTTTATCATATTTGTACTGATATTTAAAATACAAATATACAAAAAATTGGAGATGTTATGAGCGAGAGATATAACCTATTCTTTATGATATAAAGCTATTTTAATGTTAAACTATGATAAAATATATTGATCGTCAATATAATAATATACAGTAACTATATACTGTACAATACATACGTGAATTTTCAAACCATCAATAAATAAAAATGAAAGAATTGAGCACTCTTTAAAATTGCTCATATTTAAAAGTGTGTAGATACATAACTGTATAAATTTTAACTCCATTAATGAAAATCTTTGATATCACGATTGAGGTGGTTTAATCTGTTGAATTTGTTGGACCGGTTAAGTTGTTTGAACCGTTTGGGCTCTCGATTTTCGTTTCGAATGACAATAAAGAGTTAGCACTATGACAATAATACCAATAATAATTCCAGCTAATGCCCCAGGATATCTGACATAGGACTCGCATGAACAAAAAAGAAATCTACTATTGCAATCTGCACATTTTTTAGCGAGCAACCAAGTGTCATATTTTCGGTCGCAACATGCGCTTAAGCCTTCGCAAGTAGATGGTAAATCTGGACAGTCAGACATTGATCTCTTTTTTTTTCAAGTAAATTTCAGCTAAGAAATTTCATTAAAGAGGGAAAACATTTATACTTACCGGTAATCACGTTATAAATTCTACGATATATCATTATAATAACAAAATTGGCAGCAAAAGATCACGCTGTAGCACCAAAGTGAAATCTTTATAATGCCACAAAAAGTAAACTTCTTCAAATAACACACCAATAAAAATAGTAAAGAAGTTGATTGTATTATATTACCAATGCAGAATCATATAATGGACTGCTGTTTGTGTCATATAGTAACATTTGAGAACAATCTTTAAACCTATCCCATCGATTTAATTTCCGGTTCAATTTTTCAAGTCCGTATTTTTTTATAGTTATTCTTTTTGAGTTTTCCAGTTACATGTTTTAATTAATTATAAAAATCTTTTTATAATGGTAATTATTTTTAATTTTACTTTTTTCGGAGTGGTGATCAGATTGATCGCATTTCACCCGTATATGTGTTACAAAATACATGTACATGTAATCTGCGCAGATCGATTGACCTGTGCATCGTTTAAAATATCCCGCGAAAGTTTTTTTACATCTGCGCAGCATAGCGGGCTTTCATCATGATTGGTTTATTTTTGTAGATCATTTCGTGATTTTTATGGGTTTTTATTGGTTAACAAAATTAAGTTTCGTATAACAATTGTAGAATGTTAATTAACCTATCAATACTTATAAAGTTTATTAAAATCATTTCATATTATCTAGCAAAAAAAAAATATAATAAAATGTCTGCACAAGAACAAATCTACAAAGTTAGCTCTAACACTAAAAAGGGAAAAAGAAAAGCTTGTTGCTGTGACTTGGAAAGTTATGATGAAGTCGCTTGTGATTATGATCTCCATGGCACTTCAATCATAACTGATCAAATAATTATACCGGTATCAAGCCAACATTTAGATTTAGTTGGCAAGGCTTTGTGCCGAAAACATTATAATAAGTATATAGTTAATGCAAAAAAAAAGAAAACCAAACTAACTAATTTATGTTCTCACCTCAAACATACAATTTATTTAGCTATGGCTCAAAAAGATTCAGAAGGAAAATTCGGGTGGATACCTGTCAAAGGAAGTAATGATGTGCCATCATTGCTTATATAAAACAGATATTGATCCAGAATACGTTAATTCACCTGATTATCCTCCGGTGAAAGAAAGAATTCCAAAAGAGAGCATAAAACAATTTCAAGATAGGTCGTATATTTTACATGGTGATGTCATTTACTCTGAATCAGAATTTCAGAAATTAGAATTGGCATATCATGAAGTATGTGTAGAACTCGATGAAACAAAGCTAGGTAAATTGACAATTTTTATTTGTAATATATTTTCAATTGTATTTTTTTTATATATTATTATTTTTTTAGAACTAATTCCTCTAAGTAAGAAGATTAAGTTAATGGTGGGAATCTTATACACAAGACAGCATTTGTATAATGAAAAACCTATTCTTGATCCCGATGAGTTCAAAAAAATGCTCAAGAATGCTGAACCATCATTACGAGATTTTTTTGATTAATTGGTGACCGGGACAAATCCGCAAGTTAAGAATCACATGACTAATGAAAAAAATAAAAAAAGATTAGTTTCATTTTGCTATTTTCTTGCAGGTCTTAATAACAAATTTATAAATGGCATTAAGACCGAGATAGGACTTTTATTAGATGCATCTGGTGCATCTTTGTCAGCAATTGAGATCTTGGCTAGTGCAGGCCTAATAGTAAGGCGTAAAACTATTGCAAGACAGAAGGCACGGCATATACAAACACATACGGAGATGATGGGGGTATTTTTAACAGAGAATGTAAGTATATAAGTAATTAAAATTTTTTTTTAAATTATTTTTTTATTTTAATTTTTTAATTTTAATTTTTTTAATTTAATTTTTTTTAAATTTTTTTTAATTAACTGTATATATAATTTTTAACAGATCAAAAATTTGGTTGTTTTAAATGTGGATGATTTTCATAATATTCATGAATCTTATCGTAGTGATTTAACTACTACATTCAATACTGCCCATTTTATTATGATACTTTTAAAAGTCTTGCCGGAAATAATCTCAATTCCATTTAATAATTCCAATCAAGAAAGGAGTATCCATAATAAAAGTGATATTGAATCAAGTATTATTATCGAGAATGCAAACTCACTTTTTTTCCTAATTTATGGCTTAGTTACACAGGATGAAAAAATGTGTTTTTCAATTTATCTGTGTAAGAAACTCACAATGAATGAGTTGAATGTCTTCTAGTTCATAGTTATGATAATAGAATTGAATAATGCCAAATGGATCGAAGCATGGAAAATATAAAACTTATCGATTTACAAGAAGGATTCCTTCATTCAACTAAGGAATACGTAAATGTACTTAGATCTTTAATAAATATTCCTGAAGTGGAGATTTATATGAGGATGTAAGTGTTTATAGCATCTATAGATTATCCTAGATAACTTCATGTATGACATGCTATAACATGTCATATTAAATTTAGAAACTCTTCTGGAATTCCAGAACAAGTTTTGTATATTATTCTAATAATTAGATCTTTGTATATATCCTTGAATAGTTGTGAAACAGTATTTCTTTTAAATTACCATTTTTTTGATTTACTTTTTCATGTAGTTTTTGATCGTAGTAAGGTGCTGACAAAAAAGTTAAAACCTTACAGAATTAATTTAATCTTAGAATTAGCATGTCAAGGCTGGTTCCAAGTTCGTTCTATAGTCTTGCAGAAATTTGAATAATCTAAAGATCTTGAAGTCCGATATCTCATTAATTTGCTTGATAACATTGTTCTATTAGTTTTAGATTTTTATCTCATCATATTTCATAGTGGAAATTGACAAGCATATCTTGAAGCAATATTTCAAGTTTGGACTGTTTTTTTTAATATTGGTGAAGACACTATAATAAATTACCATTAATATTTTTAAGTGATATTTTTTATTGATTTGATACTAATCATCCTATTTTTCAAATTCTTACAGATTCAGTCTACGTCTTTAATAATTATTACATAGAAAATTTTCATAGCTCACTCTAGCAATAAATATGTGAATCAAATATGATAAAGCAAATAATTCAAAAAGCATGAATAGTTGATCAGATGCATGACAACAATTCTTTTATGAATATATTTGCTGAAAATCATAATATTAGATATTCTGCAAAACAGCTAGAATATCTTGAAAAATGTATAATACTTTTTCTGCTAAAATTTTTTATGAATGTTTATAAGAATCTTGATGGATCAAAAATTATTTCATCTGATACAGATTTGAAATCAGAAAAATATGAACTTCCAACACTAAAAATGCAAGTCAATATAAATATCTTGCCAATAGCTTGAAATACATCACATATTTCACATAATGATAGATATTGTGACTTAGAGGACTACGTAAATTCTTGTGTGATAGATATTGCTCTAATTTGTGAATATGTTTATCATTTTGAATGCTTTTTCTTCAAATTAGGAAGCTGATGTTGATATTATATTGATTATCTTATAAGTGGAATCAAAAAGAATTATAAGACTTTTCAAGAGATACTAGAATCATTGAATAAAAAAGTAAAAGTGAAAAGCTCAAATCAAAAAGATGATTCTGAGACAAATGATAATACTAGTGATGAAAATTTTTTTTAGATAAAAATACTGATTGTAATAATATAGATATACTTGTTAAGAGAGCTATAGATACTTTAGTAAATACGTAATTTAGGATGGATTTTATTATGAATTATAGATTTTAGAATTAGTTCATAAAATATATATATAAATATTTTAATAAATAAATCTTACAAATTTTTTAATAAATAAGTTTTTACAAGTTTTTTTATAAATATTTTTTAAAAAATAATTATAAATGATATTTTTAATAAATGCATTTTTTATTTATTACTTAATTACTTATCATATATATATGTTATTAAATATTCCAATTCTATACATTTGACATCCCTTACATATTTAACACTTATCTTTTATTCACATTTCAGCATTTACTTTCTCAACATGCAAAAGCTTAGACCAATATATTAAAAGCAAGATACATTAGTAAGTAAAAAAAATAATTTCAATATTTAATAATTATAGAATTAATATTTAATATCTTCATCTATTGCCAAAATTATGTGTGCTTCTTGATTGTCTACTAAGCACAGATCTCAATCTTTTTATTAAAGTGCACTCTATTCAAAGATGAAATAAAGTGCTTCTTATTTAACTTCCAAATTACTTCATGGATTACTGAATTACTTTGATAGTTTATAAAGTAAAACACAAAGTTTCTAATTTTTTTGTTTTACTCTTTCTGAATTCGTATTCATAATTCCGAATCTATTCTTGTGATCAAAAATCATTATTTTAATAATATTTTATTATGATAAGTGATCTACAAAAATTGGCCAATCATAATAAAATCTGCCTTGCTCATCTACGTAATAAGCAGATTATTTCTAAAAAATATATTGAGCTATATAACTAATTTCTAATCTGCACTGCACAGATTGCAAGACTAATTTTAAATACTGAATATGTATTATCTTAAAAAAAGGTAACTGGATAAAATTTTCTTTCTATATTTCTTTTTATTTATTATATAAATATTTTAATCTAGAAAGAAAATTTCATTTTATAATATCTTTATATTATATATAGTTCAGAGATACTTTTTCAAGATATTGTATTGAGATCTGCAATTCTAAAATGATTAGTCAATTATACTTTTTTTCACGTGATTTATTAGCATACATAAAGAAGTTCTAAAATTCCTTCTAAAATAATATTTTATTAATAATAGTGCACCTATGAGCTGAATAAGTGAATAAGTTATTTGTATTGTACAGTCAGATATTTCTCTTTATAAGTAATGTGACATGAGTATTTATTAGATTGCATATGTTTTAATTATAAATGAAGTTCATTAAGAGTAGTTTTATTATTTTATTACTTGTTTTATTACT